CCCCCCCCAATGCCCCGCTTATTAATATGAGTACGTAAGGTACGTTGTAAGATTGATATCATAGTCGCAATGAAAATATTAGCATGTTTCAAAGACGTCCTGCCTGGAAAGTGTAAACAAAAATGTGGAAGTCTTATTCAATTTTTTATTAACTATATCTGCATAACATCCTCTAACAAATGCAATACACAAACCACAAACTACACTACAAATACCACACCAAATAAAAACTAAAACAAAATCCATTGAATATAGAGTGTTGTTGACAAACCTTAAGTGAATTATGAAAAAAACAATATTGCAGATACAATTATCTAAAGTATAAATCTACATTATTTTTTACATAGATTTCAAACAACATTTTCTGTTGGCTAGCAGACATTGCAATACCAACGAAGGTCTTTTATATTCATACAAAACCTGACTACTTTGAAAACACAAGGAATTAAATAATCCCTTACTTGAATTAAGTACAAAATATTAATGTAAATTAAAAAATAATGTGAATGACATTTATCTCAATATCAAAAATTGTAAATGGAAGTGATGTCTATACAACAGTACAGTAAAGTTTAGAAGAAAAAAATAATATACACACATGGACACAATGTGTTGTATATACTTTAAATGTATTGTTTGATATAGAGTAACATTAAACAAATATAACCATGAACATTTCAGCAGTAACAGTACACAACAAAGACATTCTATTATCTACGACCAGGATCGGTAACAGTAGTAGTAGCTGATGTTGATTTTCTAATTGATTGAATTTGAGCGGTTATTGTTGTGCAGGTTTTTTTGAAAATCGAAGGATTCCGTCATTGTAAACCAAGGGTTTCTATATGTCATCTCTGCTTGGCTGACCACACTTAAACCCCCCTGCAATATTAATACAGGAATAGGTATTGAATTCTGTGACAACAATGTTTTAGTTCTGCTTCTGGAACAATTTCATTGTTTCATCTTAATGCAATATTGTACATACTACTATCAGACGTAAAACTATTAAGACAGATAAATAGTTTTACGTCTGATGGTAGTATGTACAAGGAATTTTGTTCACGAAAAGACCAATAAATCCACAAAAGTAATATTTTTTGCAGATTTTTTTTAACCATCGTATCTAGAAAAGTTCTTAATTTCAAAAGATAAACTATATATGGAAGAAGAATGGTTAAATAACATTTGGAAATTAAGTTGAGTAAAGCACTTTTTTCATCATCTAAGGAAGCACTAAAACCAAAACACTTGATCTTTTAATAATGCACTGTACAATTTTTAAACTAAACGTCATTTCAGTATATGTACATAATTTCACCTATAATATTTTGGTCTAGATTTCATTGAAAACAACCATGCTCAACATCAAATATGTCCAAAAGAAGTCCTTATCTCCAAAAACCTTCTATCTATATTTCTAGCACTGTTTCATGGATATACCTTATTGTAGGCAAGACATCACATAACAGAATAAAGGAGTGTAGATAAAAGTGTATTTATAAACAAGAGGCCCATGGGCCTTAGCGGTCACCTAAGAGTCCTACAGTATTATTTTTTGTTGTTGAAATATGAAGTGGAGATAATGATGTCAATCATCCCTACCAAAATTGGAGTAAAAAATAGTTAAATATAACTTTAAGTCAAGTTTGTCAGGACAATGAGTTGATCATTACTAGACCGAGTTTCAGTTAATTCAGCCTATTAGAACTTGATTTTAAGTTTTAAATATGTTTTTTTCCAAAATGGTAGCCATGGCAGCCGTATTGGATTTTTGATGGACCCGAAAAATAACAACACTTTGTCAGGAACATACGTTGATAATTCCTACCAAGTTTCAGTTAAATCGGCCCATTAGAACTTGACTAAGTTTGAATTAGTTTTTTTCAAAATGGCCGTCCCTGGCGGCCGTTTTGGATTTCTGATTGACCCGAAAAATAACAACACTTTGTCAGGAACATAAGTTGATCATTCCTACCAAGTTTCAGTGAAATCGACCCTTGAGAACTTGACTTTATGTTTGAAATAGTTTTTCAAAATGGCGGCCATATTAGATTGCTGATCGACCCGAAAAATAACAACACTTTATCAGGAACATAAGTTGATCATTCCTACCAAGTTTCAGTTAAATCGGCCCAGGAGAACTTGACTTTATGTTTGAAATAGTATTTCAAAATGGCGGCCATATTGAATTTCTGATCGACCCGAAAAATAACAACACTTTGTCAGGACCATAAGTTGATCATTCCTACCTAGTTTCAGTTAAATCGGCCCAGTAGAACTTGACTTTAAGTTTGAAATAGTTTTTTTTAAATGGCGGCCGTGGTGGTTATATTGGAATTCTGATCGACCCGAAAAATTTCCAACAAGGGGAGGTAATTAATATAATCCAGTGTTAATGCCTATATAGTAATCTCTAATGAGGGAGATAATCCGGCGTTAATGTCTAGCTCGATCTATGATACAATTAGTCCTTGTGACTTTTGCAATATACTTTGTACCTGCTCTCTTCTTCTGGTAATCATGATGTAAAGACTAGCATTGCAACACATAATATTGGGTTATAACAAGCAATTCAGTTTATTGTCTGTTGTAACCCAATTAAAGACAGTGAAATGAATTCAATAAACAGTAATACATGCATATAAGATTTTTCTAAAAGACCCATTATCAACATTTTTTTACAAGAGATTTCCTTCAATCAAAATACATGTAGGTTATATCATGGTCATCTCCAACAAGAGGAGATAATCCAGTATGATACCTATATGGTATTCTCAAACGAGGCGAGGTACATGTAATCCTATGCTGAAGTCTATGATTATGTCAATACATGTTTATCCAACGAGGGGAGGTAATCCAGTGTTAATGTCTAGCAAAAAGAGATCACATTGTTATTATGTATAATGTACAGTTTATAAATGTGAACTATAAACAAAATGCTGTGTTAGAATATTCCAGGATTGTCTCTTAAAGTAAAAGCTGTCTTTGATCCTCTCTGAAATCCTGATTACAACAAATGCTGTACTCAACCATTCTAAACGTATTGATGATGATGTGTTTTATTTGTCACTAAGATTAAAGTTTCCATTTTTCAAATCCTTTTCTATCCGCAGGACTGCCTGCTTCTTCTCCTTCTGTAAACCGAAGAAAGCATTACATCTGAATGAAGTTATCATATTGAACAGGGAAAAACCTATATCTCAAATTTTGAAAATGAAATATGAACATTAAACAATGTAGAAAGTGAAACAAGAGTTGTTTTCACTGATGAATTAAGCATTTACTGTTTCACCCTGAATCTCCATATAAACAATCTATTTCCACTTGCAGTTCTGCCATACAAGAAGAACAAATTTGGCCATATTGAGTATACCAGATAGCTTGGAGATTAAGAATCTATTGGAGTACTATTGGAATATATTACTCCCCAAGACAGATATGAGATAAAAAGACTCAGGACTCACCTTTAGTCCCCCTTCAAGGTTTGAAGTTTTAATTAATCCCTTAATGACGTAATTAAATCCATACAAGTCATTATCCTTCCTGGTCCGAACTCGCAGCTCCCTGTAAAAATAATGAGAAAAAGAAATAAAATAAGATAAAAGAGGACACAAGCAATATCTACGAAACTCATGATAAAACAATACAGCTGATGTGTATGAAAGACAACCTTGAAAGTGAGTTTGCCATTTCACATATTTACTAGTACAGTATATACTTAAAGTGAAAGAAATATAATCAACCATTGTAATATAAAGAAGATCTGTTAAGTTATTCCTTTAGCCAAATATAACATGCACAACGAGGGATCAAGGGGAACGTACATATCAAATTTGAGAAAGATCCCTCAAGTTATTCCTGAGAAATGGTACTAACAAACATTCAATGTCAAAAATCGAAGATGGCTGTCGGTTGGCCATTTTGTTTATCTGATCAGTTTCAAAAGTAAACATGAACAATAAAGGATAGCGGGGAACCTGCATATAGAATTTGAGAAAGAACCATCCAATGCTTCCTGGGAAATAGCACTAACAAACCTTAAAATCAAAGATTTGTTTATCCGATCAGTCTCATAAAAAAATGTGCATAACTTCATACATGTACCAAAGGGAACCGACATAAAAAAATTAAGAAGGATCTTTCCAGTATTTCCTGAGTAATAGCCACAACAAACCTTTAATGTCACAATCCACGATGGCTGCCTGTCTGCCATTTTGTTTATCTGATCAGTCTCAAAAGTTTATATACACAAGTAAGGACCTAGGGGAACCTACATACAAGACGTGAGAAAGATCTCACCACTACTTCCTGAGAAATAGCGATAACAAACCTTCAATGTCAAAATCCAAGAAGGCTACCTGTTGGCCATTTTGTTTTTCTGATCATCTAAAAATTACATATGCACAACTACAGACCTAGGGGAGCCTACAATAATGTACATAACAAATTTTGGAAAGATCCCGCCACTACTTCCTGAGAAATAGTGATACCAAACCTTCAATGTCAAAATCCAAGATGGTGGCTGTCAGCCATTTTGTTTACATGATCATTCTCAACATTAAACATGCACAACTGCAGACAAAGGGAAACCTTCATATATAATTTGAGTTGGATCTCTCCAGTACTTCCTGAGAAATAGCGATAACAAACCTTCAATGTCAAAATCCAAGATGGCTGCCTGTCGGCCATTTTGTTTATTCAATCTGTCCCAAAAGTTAACCTGCACAACTATGGACCAAGGGAACCTACATATAAAATTTGAAAAAGATCCCTCCAGTATTTCCTAAGAAATAGCCATAACAAACCTTCACTATCAAAATCCAAGATGGCTGGCTGTCGGCCATTTTGTTTATCTGATCAGTCTCAAAAGTTGCCTTGCACAATTAGGGACCAAGGGGAACCTACATATAAAATTTAAGAAAGATTCCTTTGAAACTACCTGAGAAATAGCCATAACAAACCTTCAATGTCAAAATCCAAGATGGCTGCCTGTCGGCCATTTTGTTTATCCAATCTATCCCAAAAGTTAACCTGCACAACTATGGACCAAGGGGAACCTACATATAAAATTTGAGAAAGATCCCTCCAGTATTTCCGGAGAAATAGCGATAACAAACCTTCACTATCAAAATCCAAGATGGCTGGCTGTCGGCCATTTTGTTTATCCGATCTGTCCCAAAAGTTGCCTTGCACAACTAGGGACCAAGGGGAACCTACATATAAAATTTAAGAAAGATCCCTCTGGAACTTCCTGAGAAATAGCCATAACAAACCTTCACTGTCAAAATCCAAGATAACTGCCTGTCCGCCATATTATTTATCTGACCATTCTCAAAAGTTGCCTTGCACAACTAGGGACCAAGGGGAACCTACATAAAGAAAGATCCCTCAGGTCCTTCTTGAGGAATACCAATAACAAGAATTGCTTTAGGACGGACGATAGACGACGGACGGACCACGGACGCAGGGCAATTTATATACCAAAACACACAAATAATAATTAAAGCAAAAATATTAAACTAGTTGAGTCCTGATGGTGACCGTGGGTGATCTCCAGGAACCTCATACAATCTTTTTCTTTCCTGTATGCTTTTACAGATATATTGTCCAAAGAGTGAAGATAATGTAAGAAAATTAAGTGATTTTTACCATGCTGCGAGAAACTTTAACAAGAACCATCATGAACTTGAATTTTTTTAATGTACCCCTCAATCTTTTAAGTCTCTTCTAGCTAAAGGCTGAATGTTTCAAATAACATGTTAATCATTGTGCATGCTAAACAGTCATTTATCTTGTTATAGATGCCCTGTCAGTGATACTCTTTAATCTGTGCTGTTTTAACAGAAATCTGTGATCATTGTTTAATATCATTTCTGTAAGTAAACCTCCGGGTCTGTTTTAATTCAATTCAAATCAAAGTTTATTCTAACCGAAAAATGATTTTAAAACATATGCACCGGCCAACCTCATTTGATGGAAATAAGAGTAAATTATAAGTTACACCAAGAAATGATTCTAAATCCAAAGTTACTGAAGTGTAAATATTGGTCACAGTGACCTACATTGGATAAATTGTTGTAGCAATCCTCACTGTGTATTTGTACAAAATTAAATTTGAGACGGACCTGACAAGTACATTGCTTTTAAATTATAGAACAAAGAATTTTTGATAATTGTAGACAGAAGATGATAGAAAATTTATCAAGGTCATCTAAAGGTTATTTATACCAGCACCTTGTTGATAATGTTTGTCTTCAATTTAACTTATGTAAATCTATAGAACCTAAGTACAAACGCCTAATTACATGTTTTAGATTTGTCGTCTCATGATTTAAATTTTGAAGTAGGTAGACGGACCGATGTTGTTCGACAGAATAGATAATGCACTTGCTGTGCTTCTGGTGATATAGAAGATGAATTTCACTTCATCCTAAAATGTCTATTATATCAAGACCTGAGATGTAAATATATCATGCGATTCTATCACAGAAGTCCTAATGTTTTTAAGTTAACGAAATTATTGAGTACTAATAATGTAGAAGAATTATGCAATCAAGGAAAGTATTTATATTGTACTATGAGAAAACGTAGAGAAATCAATGTCTGATATGGAAAACTACTTGTGTGCTCTCCACTTCATCAATTTAAATCTGTATAAAAATCTCTTGTACATGTGTTATATGATGTAATTGTTTGATTTTCAACCTATGAGTTAGATGGCTCTGGGAAATGAGGAAACATCCAGAGAAATAGCGATAACAATCTTCATCAGTCAAAATCTAGCATGGCTGCTTGGCAGCTATTTCGTTCATCAGTCTCAAAAAAAACATAGACTCAGGCTAGGGGAATCTACATTACGTAGAAAACAAGAGGCCCAGAGGGCCTGTATCGCTAAAGCACTCTATGGTAGGTGCTGTAAGTACATATGAAATTTCAGAAAGATCCATCCAGTATTTGAGATATAGCGAGAACAAACTATAAACAGAGCCCCACCCCTATGCCCCTAGGGGGGATCATGCAAAATTGAGACCCCTTGGCCCAAGGATGCTCCTGACTAAATAAGGATAAAATCCCTTAATCCCGATGGTCTAAGAAGGATTTTAAAGGTTTTACCTCTATTTCTCCTATTTGGCCCTGTCCTTCTGCCCCCTGGGAGACCACACCCACTGCTTATACAAAATTGAGTCCCATTGGCCCAAGAATGCTCCAGACTAAATTAGGATAAAATCCCTTAATCCCTACGGTAGACGAAGGATTTATAAAGGTTTTACCTCTATTTCCCTTATTGGGCCTCGCCCCACTTCCCCCAGGGGGGCCACACACCCCGTTTATACAAAATTGAGTCCCCTCGGCCTGAGGATGCTACAGATTAAATTTAGTCAAAATCTACTTCGCCGTTCAGGAAAATGAAGGTAAAGTATGTTAGATAAAAAGTAAGGAAATTAAACATGCTAGTCAAAAAGGTCAAAAACAGGACAGAGGACAGACTCACTTTTGTGCCTCATCAAAAGTGACGCTAAAAGCCAGCTTTGTAAAATCACCAAGGTCCTTCCTCTCTATCTTGAACTTTCCATAATCCTTTTTGTCTTCCACAATAGCAACTGTCATTAAAAGACAACAACAGGTAATATTCAGTGAAATTAATATACATTTTGAATAATTTATCTTGGTTAAACCATTAAAGATCTTTTTTTCTGTAAAGAAGCATCAATATAACACACCAGTCAGTTAAATGAAACAGTTTATCTTAACGTTAACACAGTGAGTCTTTATTACAGAAATGTTACATAAATATATTATACTGAATGAAGATGAAAAGAAGTTGGAATATGTTCGTATCAAGGCTTTCATAACATGACTAATAGTCTATGATATACTTTTACTGAAGTTGACCAGAATTCGAGGAACTGGCGAAAAAGATGAAATAATAAAATGTTACGCACTGTCAATCAGGATTATATTTATTATATTTTAAGTGAAAATTTCTCATTTGACCTTACTTTGTGATACTAAGTTCCTAACCAAGTGATTAAGCATAAGGAACCAGTGGGAACATCTTGATGGACTAATTAGCAAATTGCCTAAAGTACATAATGATGTCACAAATACATTTTAAAAGTTTTTTCATGCTTCCATTAAAATTTTGTTGAGGGATATTCTCAGGTTGACTCAGGGCACTGTCACCCTATAATAAATGTGATAAATCTCTAATATTGGTAAATCATTTTATGATTTAGAATGATTTATTTATATCGGCTGATCCATCATAAATTATCATCAAGTACAAGTACAGACACTTACATTGAAGAGCCGAGTAGTCTCCCTCCCAGCCGGATGCCATGCTTTTCAAACCTGCTGTACCTGGCTCACTGCTGTAGAAGACTCTTCCTTTAGAAATAGCTTACCTATTTCAAACAAAACAAAAATATTGGCTCAATTATGAATTAGTAATCAAGAAGGGCAGATGTGTCAGGCTATAAACTGCCAACAACACTTAACGTTAACTGTGTGGTATACTGAAACACTAACCACCTTCTTTAAATCAGTTGTCAAAAATTAACTACATTCCAAACGATATTACTCAATCTTTCCTCCCTTTTCCTTGAAATGAGACTGTGTTGTGTTAGAATTAATAAAATATTGCCTGTGTGACCCGTACAGAAACCAAACTGTTAGTCAGAGTTGCCAGTGCTTTGTCTTGTACTTCTGGCCCCAAATGAATTTATCTATACAACAAGATGCCCTGTATCGCTCACCTGGATATGTTTAATGTACTTGATATGAGGTAAAGATGTACATATACTTACATTATGTATGCTTTGACCCACTGACCTAAATAAGTTTCATTTTTACATAACACAGATGACCCCATCACTGCGTATTGATACACTACAATGACATAACACAGGGGGTAGTTGGTAGACGATTGGAGAATTAAAAGCACTTAAAAAATATAAATAAAATTACCAAGAAATTCTAACACGGTTCATGGAATATGTCCAGAAAGCTAATGTTGTTATGACCTCATGAATGTTGAAAAAATAAAATTTTATTCCTTAAATGAAATTTCAAGATCCATCCAGTATTTCTGTAGATATAGCAAGAACAAACTTCAAATGTAACAAGAGGCCCATGGGCCTTAACGGTCACCTGAGTCTATAGTATTTATTTTTGTTGTTGAAATATGTACCAATTTGAGTAAAAAATAGTATAATGTTAACTTAACTTTGTCAGGACCATGAGCTGATCATTCCTAGACCAATTTTAAGTGAGATCGGCCTATTAGAACTTAGTAGCAAAATAGCGGCCATGGCAGCCAAATTGTATTTCTGATTGACCCGAAAAATAACAACACTTTGTCAGGACCATGAGGCGATCATTCCTACCAACTTTCAGTTCAATCGGTCCAGCAGAACTTGACTTTAAGTTTGAAATAGGTTTTCAAAATGGCGGCCGTGGCGGCCATATTGGATTTCTGATCGACCCGAAAAATAACAACACTTTGTCAGGACCATGAGGCGATCATTCCTATCAACTTTCAGTTCAATCGGCCCAGCAGAACTTGACTTTAAGTTTGAAATGTAAAATGTTAACGGACGACGGACGACGGACGACGGACGACGGACGACGGACGACGTACGACGGACGACGGACGACGGACGACGACGGACGAAAACGGATAGCAATAGGTCACTTGAGCTAAAGCTCAGGTTACCTAAAAATCCAAGATGGCGTCCTGGTAGCCATCTTGTTTGAATGAATACACCCTTATAGTAACAGGCAATTCTAGATAACTTGATAGACAAAATTGGGATAAAATCCTTAAAATCCTTATGGTAGAAGAAGGATTTCAAAGGTTTTACCTCTATTTCCCCTATTAGGCCGCCCCTGCGCCCCTCTGGGGGCCATACCTACCGTTTATACAGAATTGAGAGCCCTTGGCCCAAGGATCCCCAGACCAAATCGGGATGAAATCCCTGAATCCCTATGGAAGAAGAAGGATTTTAAAGGTTTACCTCTGCTTCCCATATTCGGACCCTACCCTCTGCCCCCAGGGGAGCCTTACACACTGTTTATACAAAAATTTAGTACCCTTGGCCAAAAAGATGCTTCAGACTCAATTAGGATAAAATCCTGTACAGTAAAAGAAGGATTTTAGAGTTTTACCTCTATTATCCCTCTTAGGCCTCTCTCCTCTGCCCCAAGGGGAGCCACACCCACCATTTACACAAATTAGAATGCCCTTTGACCTAAGGATGGCCTAGAACAAATTGGGATGAAATCCCTTAATCCTTAAGGTAGAAAAAGATTTTTAAATAATTACCTATTTGCCCCACCCTTCTATCCCCAGGGGACCACTTATGCATTTATAAAAAATTGACTGCCCTTGGCCCAAAGATGCTCCAAACCAAATTGAGTTAAAAACCACTTTGCCGTTCAGGACAAGTATCGTTTAAAAGGAAAAGTTGATGAATAGACAGATGACCGACGATGCACCATGGCATAAGCTCACTCGCCCTTTGGGAAGGTAATAATAATAATAATAATATACAACATTTATATAGCGCCCTATATAATTTGTAAAATTACTCTAAAGCGCTTTACAACATATGGATAATAGTAATGGTTATAACTGTGAAAACAAAAAACAACAGCTTACAATCACTTTTATACATTTAAGCAAGCAATGTGCACATGATTGAACAAATAATAGGGTGGTATTTACATAACGTCTTTGCAATGATTCTAAAATGCAGACGTGAAGAGGTGAGTTTTGATGTCCCTCTTGAACTTGGCCAGGGTATTGGACTTTCAAATTGCAGATGGTAAGCTATTTCACAATGTAGCCGAAACCCTTTCAAAGCATCGGTTTCCGTAGGTCACAGTACGAGATTTTGGGACATACAACAAAGATTCTGACTCCGACCGCAGTGATCGTGATGGCTGATACAGGGTAACAAGCTCCTGTATGTACTGAGGAGCTGTTCCATTCAGTGTACACCAGAATTTTGTACTGCGACCTGTATCGTACAGGTAACCAGTGCAACGAATAGAGCACAGGTGTGATGTGCTCTCTCTTTCGAGTACGAGTAACTAGCCGTGCTGCAGTGTTCTGGACCCTCTGCAGACGACTAGTTAGTTTGTCAGATATACCACAGAGCAGGGTGTTACCATAATCCAACCGAGAGGTAACAAGTGAATGCACCAAAATCTCGCATGCATCTGCAGTTAAAAACTGCCGAATACAGCCGATGTTCCTGATCTGGTAGTATCAGGATTTGGCAATCGCGTTCATTTGTTTCTCCATGTTCAGTGAACTATCAAAGTATACCCCTAGGTTTTTAACAGCTGGAACAGTCTCAATAGTTCTGGCACCGACCTTGAGCTGGAGAGCCATTGTTTGCCGACGCTTTGGGGAAAAGACGATTAGTTCCCTCTTTTCCTGATTAAGCTTAAGCATGTTGGCGTTCATCCAGATACTGATATCTGTCAGACAAGCTTCCAGACTTTCTGAGACGGTATTCCAACTGTCCTGTGGTTTGATGACCATGTAAATTTGTGGTCATCGGCATAGCAATGATAGCAAAGGTGAGCTTAATTGCATCAGTACCTTTTTCTCATTTGAGATTATGTTAATCAATTAAATATTTAATAATTAAACAGGAAATAAAAAGTGTTTCCAACAGGAATCAAATCAGCCTCCACCTCACCCTCCCAGCTATCCAGTCGGCCGTTCTTACGATGGTGCTTAGGAAGTAAGCTTTCTGTAGCAGGATGTAATTGAGAAACGTAATCATTTTTTAAATGTGCAATACTACAACTTCCTTATATATAATATGTGTGTCCAAGGATTTATATTTATGTACCAAGCACCTGCCAGTGGATATAACTCATTAACAAGACCCACAGGGTCACGCACCTACTATCAATCCTGATTTTGTGAGACTTTCAGCCGCTGGGTACGCCCCTATCCAATAAGGTACCCAGCGGTTGAAAGTCTCACAAGTTGTTTCGGGTTGTTTCGCCCGAAATCCTGTTCGCCCTAGGTTGTTTCGCCTTAAAACAAAAATATTAGGGCGAAACATTGTTTGGTATTTTCTTTCAATTTCGGTAGTTTAAGTCACAAATTGAGTGTTCTTTGTCTTCTAGATAATTTTTATCAATTTCATAAACAAAATGTGTTTGTCTTGTTTTTAAGCGAGTGTGACAAACGGCAGCTGTGAAAAGCTGACACTGCTCTCACATACTTACTCAGTCTCTACTTGAAATATACCAAACACCATTGTAGAAAGTCATCAATAAGTTTAGTTGATATATTTAAATATTAACTATTCTATATAAGCGCATGAATTACTTATTTTTAGGGCGAAATAACCTAGGGCAAACGGGATTTAGGGCGACACAACCCTTAGCGCGAACGGGATTTAGGGCGAAACAACCCATTTCCAACAAGATCAATAATGACAATATTAATAGTTGTGTTGTGCAGGACCTGTCTTTACTCCCTTATAAAAACAAACGGAACACTTGTCAAAGCATATCAATGCATGCTAACGTGTGTAGTTTAAACCTTGTAAACCTGTGGAGTAGAAGCCCCTGTTCAAAGTGTCGAACCGAAAGCAGGACGGTAAACAACGAAACGAAACCGGAAAACAAAATTACAAACTAAGAGATGGAACGGTATGCAATATTTTATCCGGATTGCAGTAAATGTCGTTCTGAAGACAACAATTCATGTGGCTACATACTGTATGTACAATGACAATGACATTTATAGTTTCCAATTGTGTTATTACAAGTCTCAGTAGTAAGACCACAATGTTGAACTCCATTTGAAGTTGCATGTGAAATATTTTGTTTTCAAATTATACCGTTCAGAAATAAACAAGAGGAGTGAAACATCAACAATCGTCAATACACAAACGACCAAACTGGACTGAAAAGTCGATTTTTAAAAAAATGCAGACACTAGGCTTGACGAAACTTGATCAAGACCAACATAAATCAAAAGAATACGAATAAGAAGGGATCCCGCCCGGAGCAATAAAACAGTGAAGAACTAGTGAAAAAATTCACTGATGTCTCGACGGGTGAGATATTACTGCATGTTGCATGTTTAGTTTCATGTATTACATTTTGTAAACGTTACAAAAAATCCCATTGCATATTTTGACGGGAGACATCGTGATGGGGTCACACTTGATACAGTCCAATTTTAATATTAATAGTTTAATATTATTTAAGGAGGGAAGGAGGAGGCACAATCGGCGCCAGCGAAAATCAGAGAAAAGGAATTTGTTTGTATGTTGTATAATATTTTTGAAAAAAAAAGTATTCTAGTTACCATTGTACATCTCCTGTCCATTGTCCTTGTTTAAGAAAGAATACGTACTATCGCAGTGTGCACAAGACCGTTGTTCGAACTTGAAATCTATCGAACCAGGGCAGAATGTAATCAAAGAAAGTGTGTTGTTTGTGGACCCCTGGGGAAGTTCATTGTACAATGATAATAAGAACATGTGTTCCGGAAGGGTAAGCGTCTTCTGCTTCCGACGATCGGTCCAGTCCAGTTCCAGGTGACAATAGCTGTGCAGGATTGATCTGCTGTATGTTGCAGGAATATGACAAACGTCGGTGGGGTTGATATCATTGTGACAGAAGGCCTAGGGTGACAATAGTCGTAGGGATTGATATCATTGTGACAGGAGGGTGACAATAGTCGATGGGGTTGATATCATTGTGACAGAAGGCCTAGGGTGACGATAGTCGTAGGGATTGATATCATTGCGACAGGAGAGTGACAAATGTCGGTTGGATTAAAATCATAGTGAAAGGAGGTGACACTATTCGATTATATATTGTGTGTGTGTGTGTTGTTACGCTTCCCGATTATCACTAATTGTACCAAATTCTGATCCACTTATGACTTTCAATGTTTGAAAATAATTTACAGATATTTTCAACAATTAAAACACCAACGCGTCTTCATGTGTTCACATTATAAAACATAGCGCATGCTTATTAGTATCTACCGACATTCTTGCTGCTCCCATGTAGAACAAACATCCAACTACCAGCATCATTGTGACCTCATACGGGATACTTTTACTATAACATTCCTGCTTCTTTAACCTATGGAAAATGCTTCTTTGTGCCGAATGTACCTGTTTTCTGTAAATCAAAGTTGTAGAAAATTTGTTTTTGTTATCTTTAGAAATATGCAAAAAAAAGACGTGTCTTACAGGGTCAACTTCTTAAATGGCACACCTTAAGATGATGTGGAAAACCATTTCAACGATTCAACCATTTCCTTACAATTTTATATTAAAAAAGTACACGCGGTTTCGTCATCTTTTGCTTCGTATTTATAAGATATCCCTCTCTGCGTTTTCCTTAAAAGTGATTGACGTAACGTCATCATTCACCACGTAGTGATTTTTTTCTTAAAAATATATGCAAATAAATAATTCCCCACATGTTATTATTAAAGCCATCGACATCAAATTATCCTCAATGTTGTGGGATGTTTTCAAATTTAAAGTAACGATATTATACATATTTTTGTCTCTCCATTAAGAAAATATCACCTTTTCCCGCTAAAACCAGTTATTTCGTTCACTCTGTTTATGCAAAAATTATGAAAAACTAAATCGTTAAATAAATGCCACATCCTTCAAACACAATATGTCGGAAATGTGAAAACGGATAATTAGAAAATATACATAAAATGAAACCCTGAGATATTATTAATACGTATGCATGTTTTGGCTGTTATTGTGTGTAAAAAAAACAACCATAAGACATTCACTAAAAACGTTAAATTTTGTTCATAAACAAAACAAGAAAATGACGTTCGAATTAACGTTTTCGACGCAAAACAACGTAGCGTTACATGACGGCTAGACATGGGGAAATCAATGCTGTGCAGCGGTGTTAGGACACACGATATAGTTAAGTTATGCTTCAAAAAGCTGAGTCAGAAAACTTGCAAATGCTTGTTTTTTCATTAAAACAAACAGATGTGTCATTTCATTCGAAAGTCACAAATATGGTATTTTTTCTTAAAAAGTCGCATTTTACGGACCGTTACATAACGGCTAGACCCAGTAATATCTTAATTCCCCAAATACTGTCGCTCCAATTTTTATAAACTTTTGCAGATTGTTTGAATAGATTAAGAACTTGCACCAAACATAATACAGGCAAACGACATAACATATTCATCTAGAAATCATATTGCGAATGAACGCATATTTTGAACAACTAAAAACATTACACAAATGATACAAATGGGTTTCCTGTATTTTTTGCAACTTTCAAAATGATATCGACTTTCAAGTATCATATTATTCAAGATAAAATTGTTATATAGCTTTAAAATTCAAACATCTGTAGAATGGGCCCATATTTTACTTTTAAATAGTCATTTATTTAAACGCGTAACCCGTTTACGTTACACATTACATTGGAGTAATGGCGAATTTTGACGTTATATCGGTGATTATTACGTTGCGCTCGAAACATTTATATATTCTAATGAAATATTCAGGTAGATAAAAAAAATCTGAATAAGATGGTATATAATAACATATATATTTGATCCTTATTCAGATTTTATATAGCGCTGATGTAGCGAAATCCGCGACTTTTCGTATGTGCGTCAACATCTGACGTTACGTCTATGTTATTAGTTTTTAAACAAACTGCTAGTATGGTGACAAAACAATAGCAATTCGGTTTTTTTATGTGCAATGTATTGTCCTTATTCTCTCATATGTAGCGGTTTGTTCCTCTACGGTATAGGACCGATGTACAGGCGACATCTGGTGTTTTGTCGAGGACATCTTCAAACCATGGATACATTAACAATCCCGTTCAAGTGTTGACATTTTACTTTTGTATTTTTATTTTCATTGATAACTTATATAACCCGACCATTCTCCTGACAAATACAGAGGAGTATCGCCACTCCAAATCCATTTTCATGGTAAATATGGCCGCGGTATTTTTCTCGTATCGCCCTTAGCGACATGTACTGCCACGGACTTAGATAATCGAATCGAATTCCGTGGTACTGCCGACGCCTGATGGTCTTTTGGGTAACGACCGCGGAGGACCACGAGGGACCACGAGGGATCGCGGGGGCACAAATGATCATCAAAATCCTTCGCGATTGAATGCTCATGATACACCGGCGTAATTGGTCTATCATCAAAATACGCGGTGATTTGTCATCGAGGAAACGCGTCACCTTAATTCCTCAAGGTTCGCGGATTGTTCGTAATGGCTATAAACTGTACTGTATATGTGATAGTTCAACTGAAAACTTTGCCTGAAATTAACATTTCCTGTGGTACTGTTTCGATTTGAAGGCTAAAATATAGTTGTTCTATGGTAAATTATTTAATCAATCATAACAAATTACTCAAATTGATACTAACGTGAAAAAACATTTACCCTCCACTGCATGTACATCTATATGTATAACTAAAAGTCCGTACTTTCTGAAGTTATTTTGACTTATAATTTATTCATTGGAAAACATTCAAATAATTCTACGCTATGTCCCTTTCTTGCAAATGAGAAATACATTCTTTTATACTAAAATTCTAAAGAAGCTTTAAAAAGATGGAACTTCCCATTTCTCTCGTTAATTCTGATAACAAAAAGTAACATTTAATGTCATTACTTCAGCGGATATTATTTTCTTTAGTTTTACTCATTGAATAAAAATCCGTGTTGTGCATAGCACTGGCCAACGTAAATATATAGTTCAGAAACTTTGCCTGTAATTGGTTATTTGACTTGAGCAGGATTGTGTCGCCCTGGTAAAAGGAAAATATTAGGCATCACAGTGACTGGTCGTATCCGGAGTAAAAAGATATACATTTTTTTTTTTTAAATACACTTTCTGTTTTAAGTTTTTACCTTGTTTGGATAAGATCACCAATATACATTTAAGCATTGATCTGGTCCGGGTACAGTGAAACCTATGATCATATTACTTTCAGATGATATTCATAGGCAATGTGAATGCAAACTGGACAGGCTTTTATCAATACATGACAAATGAAGGCAATTCAGGGCTTAAAGTTACAGTGTACTGCTTTCAAAATAAATCTGGACTTGTTTCGGTTTGACAAGTAAACTGATTAATGTGCTGCCAGTTTCTCTTCAGTTTTGTTTGTGCCTTTTCAGATTTTTGGTTGTAAAATTAAAACCAAGTTTGAGCGAGACACAGCTTACAGTTAGTATACCTCAGGGAAGCCTGGTCTTCTGATGTGTATCATGTATGTCAATGACATAACACTTAATGCCACCTAACGTAATTTGCATATATAAATTTGAATGCTGATGATACATTAGGAAAATTAATAAGTGGTAAATCGGTATCTGTTACAAATGAAACCTTTAATGCTGATAAAACCTAGTGTATGACTGGTGTATATGTGTGTACAAAAACTCCTTAGTGTATCTTTGATTATTGTGGATTTTGGGTAATCAAATCAACAGTGTTAACCGGAAAATATGTTTTCAAAGTTTTAAATGAAGAGTTTTAAACGTTTTCCTAGCAAGTCTTCTCTTCATTTTTTAAAACCGTTTAACTTTTGTTTTGTGTTGTTTTTGTTTTTGTTTTTGTTATTTTGT